TAACTAGTACCCTCGCTCAAGCACCCAGAAATGCGCACGCACAAACATGTACATAAATCTGAAAACGTTTCGCTTTTGAATGATTACACGTTGGATAGAAAACTAAACGTTTTCAAATGAAATCATGCTCACGCTACTGACATATGCTATCCCGTCAGAAACAAAAAATAGAAAACTGAATTACTTCTCTAATGTTTGTTCGAAAAGGTGCCAAATAATTGCTACTCACATATATTTTAACAGATATTGCCCAGCGAAGAGATCTTCAGATAAGTTTTTTAATTTGTTATTTCCCAGCCACCTGTAAAGCACATTCAAGCCAAATATCCATTGGTATCAGAAAGAATTTCATTCCTTGTACTGAGTAGAACTTGCAAAATGCGCAACTATTTGCCTAAGGCTTGTTCTCGATGGACAGAGGAACATGAACGGATTAAACCTGAGGCCGGTGAACATGGAATTGTTTTTAAAAGAATCACCTTACGTCAATATATGTCATCCAAACTAATAGAAAGGATATCTTTTTTCCCCCTAATTATTAACTATGTTGTTAAAGAGGATTTGTACCAGTGCCTAATGTTTTTCAAATGCAGTTATCCGTTAGTATTTTGTTCCGAATCTCATAAAAAAAAAAGAGGGTTGGATGCGGCAGTCAATTATATTATGCTTCAGGGCTAATATCTTACAGATCATTTAGCCTGTAGTCCTTGAACAGATCACTTGGAAGAGCCTCCAGTTTGTTGAAGTCCAGAGTTCTGTATAAAAAGATACATCTACTTTCTTGACGGTCCTCGATTATTTATTTGCGAGTGCACGATTCTCTTTTCATCTTGTCCAAAAATGTAAACAAAATAATGTCATACTGTGGTTGCACACTAAAGTCTAAACGGCCATCTTGGCTTTATTGTTTTGGTATCTCTTTAACCTGTAAAAAAGTATTCTCAAAAAAAAAAAAACTGATTCTGACGCCTCTTCACCCTGAAATCGAGCTTTAAAGTTCCAGCTTCGGCCACGCCCAATGAAGTTCACCGCGCAAGGGAATATTGGTGATGAATGACGTCACTCTAGGAGCGTCTCGAGCGTCGTGTTGTTACTTTGCTTGAAAAACGCAGCACTTTTACAACACATCTATCGGGAATATTTATGTCGCCGAAAAGTCTTTACCTTACCGAAAAAAAAAACATTGAAATGAACTACTGACGGGATTTGGCGCGTTCCTGACTTGACGTCACGATCCATTCTGAATCCAATCTCTTTTTTACCCCGACTCACGGTCACCTTCAATGGGCGTGTCCAAAGCGGGGAGTTTAAAGCTCGATTTCAATTAATCCAATTTTTATTTTAGAGTGCTTTTTTACATATTTAATACATACCAAAACTATAAAAACCGTGTTGGCCGTATAGACACTTTAACATCGAAAGTTACAAGAATAAAGATGCATGAACAAAAGCCTGCACATTTCTCAAAAATGTACGCGTTCAATTGAAATGATCTCATCGCAGCGTCCACTGATGATTAAAAAGAAGGAAGATTCAAGTGAATTTCAACTTATTCTATGTTACATAGAGCAGTTTGACTGTCAACAACACTAATCAACCCTTATAAGTTATAAATAAGTTGATCAGCTCTATCAAACCTGCCTATTGTTATGGTATGATTCGTTTTCGGTCAATGGCCCTATCTTTTGCCATCTTCCGGGACATTCATACCCGATGGTTTAGATATTGATCGCACCAGGCAGGCATCGAGATCCGGCAAGAATTTTTTCGCTGTAACAATTTTTGCCTCGGGGCAGTATCCTTCGAAATTTACGCATTCTAAGAGATTTGAAGTAAGAAGTAGTNACGGCCCTATATCAAGCGAAACAAACGTTTACTTACAGTTCTTGAATATCCCGATTTAGAAAGAAAGCTCCTGAAGGTAACTTTTCCAGTTGGTTGTAGGACAAGTCACTACATAAGAGTAAATAAGGAAAATCCAATATTAGGAGATAAAGAAAAGGTATCAGCATGCACAATAACTCATTGAAAAGTGGGTTTCCCTCGCTCTGGAAGTCTCAGTATCTAAATTGTGAGATTTCTGTCTTCGGTTATCGAGATTGTTTACTGCAGTGTTCAGCACGCACCAACAAAAACACAAAAATCATGCGAGTGATTAGTGTGCCCCCGCTCTTTTACCCAGAAATGTTTAATGAAGCAATTTTTTACTCATTTCGGTTAGAAAAACATCAAGTTAAGCCATCGTACTTCAACAATCCAAAACAACGACCACGCTCTAACTTTGTGCATATAGTTCGTAATGCACGCACATATATTTAGGGCCTTTTCCCCAGAGGGCATGTAGAAGATCTAGAGTGCATTCTCAAAATAAGGGTCACTCGAAAATTGGACAAGATGTCTCACCAATCCTACGTAACGCATATGCTTAACTTTTTAAATTTTGAAGTTACATCAAGATCGGCCCGAATATATATTTTTTTTCAAATTCTTTTCGACTACTCTAGGGGTATTATTCAATTTCCTACTATGGAGATTTTGATTCATATAGAAAATAGTGGCTAACAGTTTTTACTTTTACCCTTTGATAAAGTTTATTAATATTCTAAGAAGCGTTTACGATACAGTTCTGAGATAGGGTCGTTAAGGTGGTTAACGCAAAATGCACCTCATATAATAAGAAAGAGGTCGTGGTATGCACTCGTCCTCTTCTTTTAAGTCACTTCGAATACGAAAATGTATGATAAAGTTACTCATGCTCGATGTTTCGTACAATAAGCCGACTTTTAGTTCTCCTATTCTTCATCGATTGTTATTGAGAGAGGGGATTCCTTCACCCGTGGACGTGCCGTTTCATTGCAATAACTGTAAAACATACAGGAACTTCTGATTGAGGCTCAGAGTGGGTGGTTCAAGTATGCGATTACCCTGGATTATTGCTCACTATTTCAAGATTACAAAATAGAGACTGGGTCTCATTTAAGGTGTTAATCCACATCAGGCATAATGGAACATGGTTCCTGTTGTATTTTCAGTTTTCAATGTCTTTGAAATTAAAAAAACTTCGGATGCTGATGGATTTTCACTTCGGCAAGGTCTGAAGCAAGGCTTTACGTGGACTCCGCAGCATCAGATAGAGCAGAAAATTTCTCTTCTTGTAATTGACAAAGACATTGGACCTCGCTTTTGTATCTCCGCGCTTCAGGAATCTTGGGGATCACGCTTTTGCTTATGCTACTCCTGCCTTATGGCACTCGTTTCCGTAGTTGTACGTAACCAATCAGATCATTTAGCTGCCTAGCTACTTTTTATAAAGACTACCTCCCCACACTGGGAGATAGTCCTAGTGTGTTTCCAACTAAGCAATTAACAGTTAATTCCAGGCGGAACCAGTTTGTTAAACGGTCTCATGACAGTCTTGACACCACACGAAACTTTAGCTACACGGGTGTGGCCATCTCGTTCAGGATGCACTTCAACAATCCGTCCTAATGGCCAACATTAGGACGGCCAACATTAGCCTGATGGCCTAATGGCCAACATTAGGCTGAATTACAAGAACCACATCCTCAACTTTAATTTTAGGTGTCGGCATTCTGTAGTCCATTTTTGTCGACTATTAAGGACTGGAACAAATTCCTTGAGCCATCTTCTCCACACTCGTGAAATGTCTTGAACCTTTCGCCATCGTTGACGCGGATGTAAAGTATTGGTTTCAACGGCCTTAAGAGCAAACTGTCCCCCCATTTTGCCAAGCCCCGATTTTGTTGGCTATTTCATCTTGAACTTCGTCGTCCCAGTCGTAGCCTTGCATCCACAGCTCCTAAAGTAGAATTTCTGTCACAATAACGTAAGGGCATATGAATCCCAGCGGGTCAAAAATCGCTGCTACTTTACGCAGGACGTTTCGTTTTGTTGTCTGAAATTCCGGGGAAACCGGAGAAGCGGTAACGGTAAACACGTCTTCAGTACTCTTCCACAAAATTCTCAGTGTCTTCGTTATCGGGTCTTGACCGCTGTTATTAATCATGATCTCTGTGGTGCGTTCATCTGATGGAATCGCCTCAATAACTTTCGGGGAATTAGAGATGCATAAACGCTATCCACATTTTCGGAGTGATTTTGTAGTTTAAGTCTGTATTAGAGCGCATAATTTCGTTATATCTTCGCTCTTTGTACCGGGATTTCATTGCAGTCTCCTGCCTTCGAATACGATCATCTTTTAGTACGTGTTAAAAAATAAATGTGGAAAACATTCTCTCGAAAAGAGCCCTGAACCTTTTGTTTATGTTTCGCGGGTCACCGTCAGCCTCGCTATGGTGTTTGCGCGGTTTATTTTCTAACACGGCGCCGGAGGTTTTAATGCCGGTTTTTCAAAAGTTACTATTCGGGTCTTAATTTTTAGCTCTAGCCATCGAATATACTACAACTGATTTTCGTGAAGCAGCATAGCGTTTCCAAAAACCTCTTGGTCCATCTGAAGTAAGGTTGTGCATGCCAAGGAAGTAACGTGCCACAGGACACTACTCCCTCTAAATAAGCATCGACAGTTTGTTGATAGAACCATTACGTTACCATTAACCACCACTTCCATTAACCATTACCATTAACCACCACTTTTGTTTGTCCTCTTGATCAACTCTTAATACGATACTTGAGCCCGCAGGATACAGCGGTGTTGTACTTTTCAAATGATCATACTGTGTAACTTGTTTGAGGTTTCCATGCCGAACTGTTTTTAATTTCTGCAGTGCTGGTCATGTTTAAGTATTTTAAAATGTTTTGCACAACCAAAGTAATTGGTACCTTCGCACAAGCACCTAGAACTGCGCAGGCACAAACAAGTAACTACTGTATCAGCACTCGCACATGCGACCTATATAAATCTGTAAACGTTACGTTGTTGAATGATGACACTTTGGACACAAAACTAAACGTATTCAATTGAAATCATGTTCACGCTGTTGACGCATGCTATCTCGTCGGAAACAAAAGAGAGCAGGTAACAATCCAAATATTTGCTTGAAAAGGTGTCAAATAATTGCTACTCACAAATATTTCAACATATCTTGCCCTGTGAAGAGATCTTCAGATAAGTTTTTTAAGTTGTTGTTTCCCAGCCACCTGTAAAACGCATTAAAGTTAAATACCATTAGCATTTGAAAAATTTTTCATTCCTTGTACTGACTAGAACTTGCAAGAGGTCCAACTTTTTGCCTAAGGTTTTCTCTAGAACTCAAATCTACATGTACTCAATATTATGACGGCTTGAACATTTCTCATTTTGTTTACCCGAACAATGATTGGCGCGTAAATATACTCGTTCATTGCTGTTCTTGAGTCTAGCCGGTCATATCACCATAATCTTCCTAT